GTGTCATATAATTTGTTGAGGGTAGACTCCTAGTTGCCTGTGCTTAGCATCATTTCTTTCAACCCATAAGAATCAACACATAAAGATCAATAGCATGACTCTAATGTGTTTTTGCTTTGTATAGTCACCAGAATAATACCATGCCCAAACAACTTCCATAATGTTTTGCGGTTGAATAACAAAAACTCGAAAAATTTGATTAAAGAAATTCCAAACCAACCGTGCTGTTGGGCTTTACCAAAGAACATGGAGCAAAGTCTCCTTTGAATGACAACATTGGCATTTTAATGTCAATTGAAAATCCTTAAACTTTAAGCGCATTTCAACAGGTACCCATCCATGAATTAAATTGTAAGTGGAATGCTTCTATGCCAAACTAAGTTAAAAGCATTACTTACAATTTGTTTTTGTCAAACTATCTCCCAAGCACTCTTAGTAAAAAATTCACCATTAGAAAAAAGAGCCCAATATGCTACATCATTACAAGATTTTTCAATGGGAATATCAACTATATCTTCAATCGTTAATTCAGGTAATTCTACTTTTAATTAGTCCACATCCTATTTATCATTATTGTAAAAATGGCATACTTAATTTACTCATAGACCGAAAATGAGAAGAGAAAGAGTTGACATGTGGTTGTTTTCCTATCCAACAATCATACCAAAAGAAATGTTTAACTTTTCCTATCTTCTTTCAAATTTCTTCTTCATCGATTTTGCAACCATTCTTCAATCGTTTCTATATGGGAGAATCATGAATTTTAACTTGGACTTTCATTGAAATTTGACCACCCCAATATTTAGTCTTTATGTGCCGTGCCTATATATTTTTTGAAGCCTGAAACTACCACCAAAGTTTCATATTGAATGCTTCAAAAACATCTATTAACTTCTAATATCAAGGCCACCTTCAGTACCAAGAATGCCAGATTTTTTTTCCAAGTAGCCCAATTTATATGTTTAGAAGTTGTAGAATCGCCCCACAGAAAGCTATTAAAGATTCTGTCAATCTTCTCAACTACACAAAGTGGAGGCTTTAACACTTGAAGTAGATATAGAGACATTGAATATAGGACACTCTTTACCAAAGTGATTCGGCCCCCTCGAGATAGGACTTTGTTTTCCCATCTAGAAATTCTATCTCTAGTTTTAGATATGAAGGAATTAGATTTTTTGGTCCCTTGTATAATGGTGCCCCCAAATAAATTATCAATAGCTTTTTGTGAGCAAATCCTGTGGCTGAATGAATAAGCTACACTTTGGAGTTAGCAATTTTATTACTAGTAATAAGGCAGCTTTTTGGCAGATTAATTTTCTTCCTAGAAACCATTTCATATTGTTCCAAGAAATTCTGAATTTTTCTAAAAAATGAGCGATTCCCATTAGTGAAAATAATTATATCATTAGCAAAAGGTAGATGATTTACCACTATAGAACTGCCTGTCAAATAGTGTAATGAAGAATATTTTCCATATAGAGCATTTAGTCCATTCAGCTGCCAGGATAAAAAGAGATGGAGATATGAAGTTACCTTGCCTCAAATCTCTCTCAGATTTAAAGTAACTCACCAAAACACCATTGATCAATAATGAGAACCAACAGCTAGATATACACTGCTGACTTATACTAATCCACTGCTCATTAAATCCGAATTGTCGCATCATAATAAATAAAAAATTCCTGCTCAATTGATCACAATCATATGCTTTCATCATATCAAGCTTCAAGGCAATATTTCCTACTCTAGTTTTTTGATCAACCAAGGGGATTAATTCTTGAGCTGAAAGAATATTATTGCTAATAAACTTGTCACCAACAAAACCACTTTGATTTTCTAAAATTAGTTTAGGCAAAATTTTTGCTAAACAATTTGCTAGAAGCTTGGTAACAAAGAATTTAAATATTAACAAGGAAGAAGTGCAAGAATACTCTAATACTGTTGACGTTGATTAATATGGTGGAAAGTAGTGCCTTCAATTAAATCTTAAACTTTATTTTATTTTTTTATTTTTATTTAATTTATTAACTTATTGCTTTAATTTCATAAATAAATTTTATGACACCGAAATGATGTAACACTAGTGAGGGAGTCCTCAATTTTGGTTTGGATGTTTCAAAATTTTCATGGTTGATGATGTTGTTGATGATATGTATTTAATTATGGTTTATTGTAGATATTATTATATTTGGTTATATTATTACCTTTTTATAATTGTTTTTATGATCATTAATTTTAAATTTGAATAATAAATTATATTTATAGGTATTTTAATTTAATCATGTATTAAACGTGTTAAAAGTTTAATTGTGTTTTTTAATCGTGTCATAAAAAGCATAACCCGATACATTAAAAAATTGCATTAATGTGTCATGTTACACTGTTTTTTTTTTTTTTATGAATGTGTTACACTATTATTAAATGTATCTATGTACATATTTTAGATTCTAGCACAATTAGTTAATCCTTTTGTGTTTATATTTAACTATATAATTGTTAATACCCTAATGACAAACAAGACCTACTTGTGATGGCATTGACAATATATGGGCTGGTTATTTTCTTGAAGATTTGGAAGCATGTTGAAATATTAGTCATTGACTTTCTTGACCAAATTTGTACAAAGTCAACTCTTCGCCATCCATTAATTGTGGCCGAAAATTTAAGATCATTGAGTTACTGTCCTCAGAAAGGTGAAGGATGTTTTTATCGATTGTGCACAACTCTTGAATTTTTGGATCAAAAGTCAATTTGGATGCAAAAGTAGTATTAAGTCATATTTCTCAACTTGTGTCCTTATTCGAGAATATTGCAAGAGTGAGGCTGGAAAGGAAAACCAAGGAAGAAACGGGTTTCAAGACTCTAAAGGCTTATCAACATAGAAGTAATATGGAGAATTCCATGGATGCCTTATGAATTGGTGTTGTACAATTGCGAAACTGAACCATGGGTCGTATTGTTAGGGTTTTTAGTAGCAATTAGTGATGCCTCAATCATAGTATTATAGTGATTCGGATCTGAACAATTTGTTCCAATGACTCATCGACTTAATTAATTAAAGTTTTTCTATGAAGAACCCATAACATTAAAGAGAATAGAGATAGAGCTACCACTTGGAAGAAAACATGTCAAGTAAGTCAAGGGAGATTCACTGATGAAGTTATTTCTAGATACTTGGCATGGCATGCAAGGCAGGTTAAACACATAGTATTTTCTTTAGAAAAGGGTTTTAATTGTTCAGTTGGTCCAGAACCCCAGAATGTTTTGTTAGAAATAAAATTGGCAAAGCAAAAGCTTGAGGTTGAGAAAGTGGAGTTGAACATCAAAATAAAAATTGAAGCATAAGCAGAGCAGCCAAAAAGGAAATTTGTAAATTGCATCAAGAATGAGAGGAATGGAGAGAAAAATATGATGGATTAAAAGGTATGTTCTCTTCATTGAATGACAAGCTCAAAGAACTCCAAAAAGGAAGTGAGAAATTACAAGTAGAGCTATTATTTAAAAATACATAAGAAAACAAGAACAAATAAAGAATAATGAAGTGCATACAAGAAAATTTTAATTTAACCCTTATGTTTTTATTACATTTAATCAAGTACTTATACTTTTATTTCAAAAATAAACCTTTATTGCTAATCATTAATTAACTGTCATTAGTCAAAATTACAATTATCAATTTAATGCCATGTCATATGAGAGGATGATATTGTCATGTGGTAGATGATGTGGCTAAAAATGTTACTGATTGAATTTTTGGTTGCTAACTTGCTTTTCTCTTGCCAATCACATGTCTTACAATCATTTATTCATATTTTTAAAACATCAAAAAGATTAAATAAACCATTTTAACCATCTACTATGGAGATAACCTGTCAGAAGTTAAATCAGCGATCAATGCCGCTAGATCTAGCAACTAGTGCTATAAACCAAAACACAAGATCAAGCACCGTTTTCGGTATAAAAAAGACCCAAGATCTAGCGCTAGGCTCTAGATAGTTGTAACTTTAACTAACAACAATTAATCAACAGTTAGTAATAAGGATTTAATGCAAAATAAAAATATAATGGCTTAATTGAACATAATAAAAATATACAAATTAAATTAAATATTCTTGTACAGATCAAGAGCTTTTTTGGATATTTTGTCATTTTTTCTTTGTTTTTGCATCATCCTTATCCATTCCTTGTTGTATTCAATTCATTTGAGATCTTGATTCTTGAAAGTGAATGATAGTCTTCAATTATGAGATTTTTGAAATTATAGAGGCAAATTTATCTAGAAATTCTCTAGGTGATGAAAGGTTTCTAATACAAAGATTTGCACTTACTATTTAATAAAATTATAAATTTGCATCATTATTACATGTTTGAATCATATGCATAAAAAATTTTTATTCTGCTCATAAATGATAAACTCGATAGTATGACTTTTCAAGAAAATTGTACGGACAAGACATTGGGAGGATTTAGAAGAGTTCTTAATATATATATAATATTGAATTCTATTTATTCAATAAAATTGATAATTATTTTAAAAATAAAAAAAGGTAAAATAATAATAAATGATAATTAAAAAATGAAAAAATATAAAGTTTAAAATCTTGACCCTCTTTTGTATATTTTGAAAGAAACCGACCTTAGAGCCTTTCCAAGAAAAATTTCAAATATTTAATGATAGAGTAAAATACTTTGACCCCTTTAAGTTTTAATAGAAATTAAATAGAAATTCATTAGTTTTTAAAATGGACATTTCGTCCTCAAAATATATTTTTCATTAGATACATAAGTCCAACCGTTAGTCAACTATTAGTATTTCTGTCAACTTGCTGACATGGTAAGAGTAAAAAAATAATTTTATTATCGATTAATTTTTATAATTAAAATTATATAATTTTATTTTTTATTAATAATAATAAAAAAAACTTTCCCATTAAAGAGCACCAGAGCTCCCCTGGAGAGCTCTGATTGGGCTTCCTAAGGGAGCATTGATGCTTCCTTTGGGGAGCTCAATCGAGGCTCCCTAAAGGATTAGGTTCCCTAAGGGGAGCACCAAGTCCACCCTTGGGAGCCTAATTTGGGCCTCCCCAAGTTAGCACCGAGGGAGCCCCAAATCGAGCTTCCTAAGGGAGCACTGATATGGTGCTCTCCTCTTTTGGGGAGTATCGATTTGGTGCTCCCCTCCCTCCGAGGGTGAAACTAGTCAATTTTGGTTGAGGCGATCAAAGACGAAAAAAAATAAAAAATAAAAATTTTTAAAATTAATATATTGAATTTAACTAATGATCAAAATATTCATAATAAATAATAATTTTATATAACATCTAAATAAAAAAACTAAAAAAAAGACTTATACTAGTTATTTAAAAAAGTTGTGTTCGAGGATGTTTTTTAGATTCAAATTCATCATTCAATATTCTTATTTATTTATATTTAAATTTAAAAAATAAAACATAAAATTGTAAGAAATTAAATATAAATAATTAAATATAAAATATAAGATTTCACATAATAGTTAAATAATATAAATTTTACTTCCTCTTAATTTTACACAATGGTTGTGAGTGATCTTTGTCTTTCCTTTTCCAAACTCACAAGCTCATAAATCTCTTTTGAAGAATAAGGTGTGTTTCTATGGTGAGTTACTAGAAAAGAGAAATAAAAATAAAAAGACAAAAAAGAGAAGAGAAAAAGAAAAATAAAAAGAGAAAGAGGTGTAAAGAAACTTAAATTAAGGTAAAATTAAATAAGTTTGTGAGGTTGTTTTATTTTTTAATTTATATTAATTATTAAATAAAAAATTTATTTTGAATGAGCTATTAATAATATATAATAAATAAATTTGTCAAAAATTTTGAGGGACCATTGATAAAATATATATAAGAAATAAATATTTTAAAAAATTTTGAGGGGACCGTTGTTGGCTTACCCTCCTCCCCTGCCTCCCTGGGTTGGTGCTCCCCTTTCTTGGGGAGCTTTTGATAAGCGCTCCTTTATGTTTTTTATTTTTTCAAACAATATAATAATAATTTTTTAAATTAATAATAAAAATATTTTAATCTTTTAATTATTTCTGTTAACAGAATTTGTAATATTGGATTCATTTCGAAAACTAATATGTGTAATTCGATTAAAACTTAAAAAAGTCAAAGTATTTTATCTTTAACAATATTTAAAGAAGAAAATTTAAAAAAATTTAAAAAGAAATGAAAAGTAATAAATAGAAATTAAGAAAAATATAGCTAAATATGAAATTAAGCGTTATTAATTAAGCTAAAAGAAGATTACACAAGCTAATAGGTATTGTTCTTTCAAGGAGGAATGGTAATAAATTCTTCATGGTAAGTGAACTCTTGAACTCTAATTGAAATAATAGATCGAAACATATCCTTTTTTTAAAAATAAATTTAAATCTAAATCTAGTACTTCATCTGAAATTATAGATTTAATTAAATGGTTAATCACTTAACGACTTCCTATTCAGGTCGAGTGATCGGGTTTGTAAATCTGCACGTCGGGAAATCTACTTCATGAGGATTGACGCCTTGATGATGCACAAGACTCCTCCAACCAAAAGGGTTGTGCACATTGAGATATTGCGTCTCGCAAAAAGTTTATAGGGCTGCACCTCCAATAGTTGTGCTCGCAAGCTAGTTGTGCAGGTTTTTATATGTCGGGGCATTTTTTTGGTGTTTATTATTCTTGTTTTTATTTATTTTTAATTGGAAAAGAGATCGTTGGAAGAGGAAAGAAATAAACAGAAGAGACAGAGAGAGGAATAAGAGAAAGCGAGGAAGAGAGAAAAAATTGTAGTTATAGAGTGAAGGAAAATGAATGGTTTTGGATTATCGATTCCAATGTCAATCCGAATTTTCAAGATGGCTTGACTGATACTGATTTCCAAGGATCTTCTTTTGGTTGAACTACTTCTTGATTCTAAGATGACATAACTAACTGTGTCGATGGAACAAACCTCCTTTCAACTAATTCTTCAGTCTCAAACCTGACCTTATGTCTTTCACAAGAATCTCAAGATCTGGCTTCGCTTCATTATCGCATACTCTGATAAAACTCTGCTTGACGTTCAAAGAATCCAAGGTTGTCGATTCTTGTATGCCCCAAGAACCATAATTTTCTTGCAAGTGGTGATGATTGTTGTTCACAGAAAACTGCTGCTCATGAGGCTCTTCAACGTAGTAATAATTTGAATTATACGAGTTCAAAGGGTCTGTATTCACCATTTGACAACCTAGCGATGAATCACCAGGTTCGTGCATTTGCAAGTGAGACTGCTGTCGCTGCTGATGAGCCTGTGCTCGGCATATGGCTAGCTGATGAAAAACCAGGTCAAGCTCAGCCTGGCTATACTCTATCTGACGCTGAAGCTCTTGGATGATCCTGTAACAACCTCCAACAGGGTCATTGGCTCGCGCATCGGATTGAAATACGATGGTACGCATGGCAATGTCTTTCTCAGGAGGAGTAAGGTTCTTGATGATCTTGGTGATGTTGCTGACTCCAAACAATTTATGAGCATTGAGGAATTGTCTTTGGCGATCATGAGGAAAATAAGGGGCGAGAATGCAGTCAGGAGCGCACTTCCTGCGTTGGTATTTACACGCAGCGCAAGCTTGTGTTGTGCCGTTACTACCAGTTCTTGGAATGCTCATATTTTGGTGGTGGTGTTTCTCTTAATTTCTTGTTGTTTGTCGGGATGAGATATCGGATGCGTTGCCGCCGGAGATGGTGCAGTTTATTTTTCTTTTCAGGAAATGTTTATTTCTGGTGATTTTTGGTTCTTCCTTTGTTTTCTCCTGGTGGGATGGGAATAACGGAGGGGAAAATGGGAGATGCAGAGAAATAAAAGGAAAGACAGACATGTTAAGATATGAAAGAGAAAGGGTCAGAGAGGGAGAGTTAACAAATTCTGTTATGATACATATTTTTGGGCTGTTGTTAGTCTACAGAGGTTTGGCAAGTTGGCAGACTACGACTTTTAGATATCTCTTTCAGGGAACTTAAAATAGATTCATCCTAATTGCCTATTTTGTTGCGTTTTTGAATTTCTTTTATTCTGGCCTTTTGATGATACAGTGATTGCAAAAATAGGGAGTAAATCACCCTTATCTTCTTACCCACCTCATCTCCCCACCCTTGGTGCCTAATTTTGAATCCAGAACTTCAGTTTACCAATAGGTTTTAAAGTCATTGACATTCCTCTCTCCCATTCGTTTCTCAATGTTTATTTCCAGGGAATTTCTACCGACCATCTTGTCTTGTAGGCTAATGAACTGAGAAAATATAGTGTTTCAGAAGGCACTCTTGAAGCTTCAGATCAAACTCAACTCTGAAAGCTTGGTACTCTTCGACTGGACAGGTCCCCTGCAGAAATGGGTCTCGTTTCAAGCATGGCATCCTTCGATAACGGAATGCCAACCAGCGGTTGGCTGGAGTATTGAATTTCATTCATAACTTTGGTGAATCAATTGAATGGTGAAGCAAAAAGATGACTTTTTGGCAGGGTATACAGGGACCATATATACGTTGCTGGTATGAATCTTAACAATTCTGAATCTAATTACCCACACACACAATCAATTTGAAATCAAAACTACATAATCTAAATAATCCACTTAGTGGCCAAGATTTACCAATCTCATTGAAAAGATATACTTGCTGAACAAACTAAAGAATTTGGTGCTTGCTGAACAAAAAGATGAATGTGATCTAGTTCTACGGTTACATGTTCTCTGGCTTTCCTTCTGATCTTTCAGAGTTAAACAGAGTGCTCTCAACCTGAACACAGCAAAGCCAAAATGATGGTTGCAAGCTGTAGTTCAAAATTTGTTGAGAAAAAGAATCATCAATAGTAAAGAATTAAAGAAGAAAAACAAGATATATACAGTTTTATGTTTTATGGCAACAAATGTGCACTTTGAAACCAGCATCAACTAAATCAAAGAACAGCAGAAGCATGCGATGGTTAAGTGCAAAAACGTAGACATCTAACAAACAATTCTAGAACAGTGGTGAATAATTTTTTAAATGGAGAAAACATTTTGATCATCATGATTTTTTTTTTTTAGAAAGACATTTTGGTCATTATGATAGCTAAAGTTCATTGTAGAATTGATCCTACATTGCTTAAAAGGATAAGTTTTTAGTATATGTTTTAGATTGATTGACTTCTTTTCTCAAATTGTTGAACATGCTGGTCAGAGTTGGAAATTTTAGACATTGTTCTACTAGCATTTCAAAAACTCTTTTCTTCTTTCTTCTTAGGAAACAGTAGGGAAAGAAATGTTCATCATTTTGTATTGCAACTAGCTTTTGCTTTCTGCCGTTGGTAAGTGGTGTTGATATCAGTGGCATGGAGATGTTTTTAAGTCTCTAAAACAATGTGGGGGATAAGTTCAATTGAAGGGTTTGAAGGGAAAAAGCTCTCTAGGGAAGTATGAGATAGTTGTTAACTTATGCTTTGTATGTTTAAAGCCTAGTTTGAGGATTGGAAGTTGGAGAAGGAGGAGCTTTTCTTATATATTTCTTACTATTATCTTTGGATAAATAGCTGTTACTAGTGTTTCCAATTCGTAGCAAGAATAACAATTTTGGTTTCTCATGGTATAAGACGATAGAGGCTTCCAAATGCTATGCATCATTAAGTAGTGGTCCTGTTGTCTTGCATTTCATGCTGTCAGCAAAGATATGATGTTACTGATCCTCAAGAATCAAGGTGCATTTGATGTGAATAGAAATATATAGAAACCGTAGTACAATGAATGCCAGTATCTATGAATTGTTCCTATTCATCAAGCTCAATGGTGTGGCTGATTATTTCAGTCGTATGGAGTATTCGGTATCAAGTTTCAAGTTCTAAATCTGTAGTCTCACTCCACTCCTGTCCGAACCTTTTGAGATGCTCATCAATCGTACTGTCGTGTTCGGGCTGGTCTGAAAAAGAAGTTACAAGGGATCAGGAAGCCTCTTGTATTGTTCAAAAATGATGAAGGATTTGGATTGAGATACAAGCCCACAAAGAAGGAAAAAGATTGAAATGATGAGCGAAAGACGAGAGATGAGATTAGCTCATTACCAAGGAATAGAATCAGAAGCTAAAAGAATTAGTTTCCCACATCTTCGATAAAATCTTCCATTCAGATGGAACTACAATTTTGTATATAACACAATAATATCATTCGGATGTGACACGGATTCAAATGAGTCTAGATTTGAGATAATTATGTTTCGTGTATTAATTATGTTGATACAGTTAAGATATGAATTAATTATGTATTAATCGTGTTAAATTCGCTTAACCTCATTTAAAACATGTTTAATATTTAATTAATTAATTATGTTATAGTGCACCCGTACAACCCATGACCTGTTTATTATTCATTTATCTAGTTGTTTTTATGTCGAGTAGACATATTTGGTACATGATTGAAACTCGTTTATTGATTTATATAAATATTAATATTTTGATAATAATTAAAATTTATTGATGTTGAATTTTATTATATTTGATATATATTATAATATACATAATTTTTGTTGTAAATATGAATAATAGATTTATATTTTAATTGTAAATATTTTAATTTAATCATTTTAATCATATTTTAATCGTGTTTATCATGTAAATAAGCTATATATTGTATAAATTTTAATTATGTTAATCATGCAAATAAAATCGTGTCATGTCGTATAAAATTGAATTTAACATATTTATCATGTCATGTTACATATTTATTAAACGCATCTGTATACGTATTTAAGATCTTAATATGATTATTTAATCGTATCATATTTATATTTTAATATATTACTGTTAATATCTTATGTTTACATAATAAAATTAAAATACACATATTGTCAAATTTGTGTTTTAAGTGTCTACATTATCCAAGTCTACCGGAAAGGATAATGCATGAGCCCCAATCAGAGGAAATCTTGGAGGATGCTTATCCGGAACTCTCCGTGCAAGTAGTGGGTGAAGAACAGTTGGAAGATGACAAGAGGATATAGTGGTATACCCAAGACCTCTTGGTCCGGAGTTCAATAATTGAAAGACCATGGAACTTTCGAGCATTCTTAAATCTTTTACGAAGTAATGCAGCTAATTAAATCCCTTAATGCTTATGTCCAAAAGCTTAGGGAAAGTGTTTAATGTAAGATGAGTTTTTTGTTTATTCAATATTATGCTAATAAAAATTATATGTGTGATTTATTTTCATATTTTTCTCTTGTTAATGAAGAGAATGTGAATGATTATGCTTTGTCTCTTGACTTGTTAAGGCTAGTTGAGTAAAAAGAAAAACGTATTGTACCTTATAAGGAACCCATGGAAATAATTAATTTGAGAAATAAAGAAAAATATTTGTTGCTATAGAGTGAAGCAAAATGAAGAGGTTTAGGATTATCTATCCCAATGTCAATCTGAACTCTCAAGATGGATTTACTCATACTCGTTTCCAAGGATCTTCCTTTGGTTGAACAACTTGTTGATCCCATAGTAAAGAGTTTGGTAGAAAATTTCTAATAGTGTAACTGAAATTCTCTCCACAAACAGATTTGTCTGTGTATATAACAAACATATCATAATCCTATGAGGAATATGATTCTAGACTCTAATTACAAGTTAGAAAAATGTACGTATATGTAGATTTACTAAATAGTTCGGGTCCATTTGACCCAACTCATATTCCAAGATAGGGGATAATTTTGAGAAGGGGTCTTGGAAGTTTGGCGTTGGCTGACTACACGCTTCATTAAAATGTGAAACAATATGATAACTCAATAGTCCAGTTGATCTATTATACGCTTCTTAAAATTTCACTTGGGTTTGTTTCAGCCTAAAGGTTCTCTTGGCCAATTAGAGGACAAATGACACTTGAACGGGACCTTCTTATCCTTCTATACAATCAAAATGTGAGGACAGGTAGGCATCCCATCATAGGGTAGATGCTGTTCTGCTTTCGGATGCAGATAGAAAGGATAACTTGCCGAGGTGAATAAGAAGGATAACGGGAGTCGCTTTATCATCTGAATAACCCAGAAAGAGATGATCAGAATCATAATAATACAAACTTATACAAGTACATGCCCCAGAAGTAAATGGACACTCATAATAATACATCAGTTTTGGATGTCAATGTACTATTTATTTTATGAACAAAAATTTCAAGACTAAGATGACGTGACTAACTGTGTCGATAGAACGAACTTCCTTTCTACTAGTTGTTCAGTCCCAAACCTGTCTTTCACAATAATCTCAAGCTTCACTT